TTGAAGGGCAGACAAGGTCAAGAAAGAAGTCTCTTTAGAATGTCAGAAATTTGATCATGTTTATAGCCTGAGGAATGAAAGGTGATGGTAAGGGAGATTAAATGCCTGTCAGAACAGATGATTGATGATCCTACCCTAAACTAACACCGATCTGGGTGGGAACTTCCTCAAAGGCAGTACAGAGGTGAGGGGGAGGCAGGGCTGTGTGCATGGGAGTTATTCTGAGTTACCAGCTAAGGGAGAAATAAGACCAGAATTCAGAGGACAAAGCCAAAGGCTCCTGCTTACCTGTGAAGGTAACTTTAATATTCATTGAATTGTGCGAGGATGCCTGAAGAGTGCAGAGACAGAAATAGCCAGGGATAGGAAGGTCAGTCAACTGGGGCCACTTAGGAACAAGTTCTATCCTTTGCTGTATGCTTTTTATGTGCATTTGGGAAGCTAGCTTGCCCAGGGGACAGTTCTTAAAAGAGAAAAAATTGAACAGAGATTATGGCAGTATGCAGTGTGGCAGATTTGCCTTGGAAAAGGACTCTACGCTGGCTTTCTCTAAAATAGAGATTTAAGAGATATGAATGAGATGATTTTGGAAGACTTTGAAATAGAGCTTAAGTTGAATACATGATCTATTGGATTTTTATCTTTTCAGTAAATATTAGGAGAGGTTATTTGAGGAGAAAATGAGGCCATTGTGGGTTTTAGAAAAGATTTGGAACAATCCCTGAAGGGAATCAGCCAGTGGTAAATACAAGTTTTGCAGGGCGGTATTGGAAGATCAGCTGTAATCAGATAGTGTGAATTTGTATCAAAATCAGTTGGTATCATTAGATGTCTCATTAGCAATTCTCAGGCTATATATAGGGAGTGGAAACCTAAACAAAAGACTATGAGATTTATCTGAATTGGGCTCTTTAGACAAATGCATATCAGATCTGGGGGCTGAGTGAACAATTTTTTGGTACAGATAGACATACAATTGAAATGACTAACCTCAGGTATGGGGTAGATAGTGAGACAGCTATTGCTTAGAAAAGGTGATAAACCAGCAAAACAGGGAGTTATTAAGTAACTAGCAGCCAGGGAAGAAGAAATTTGAGGTTGAGTGAGCAAGTGGGGCAGTTGCAAGGTCAGAAGGTTGTGGCCAGAGGAAAAAATTTCAGAGCTGAAGATCTTAGAACAGAACAAACATATTCTGGGTAAAGATAACGAGCCAAGTTGCGGCCGTGCAGCTGAGAAGCTGAAAGGACGTGGAAGCAAAGCCTGTGCGAGCTGAAATCAGCGTGAAGCTGGAGGTTCATGGGCGGATACTGAACCGTGAAGTCATTAACAAAGATGCTGAAGCTACTGAGGAGACGGAAAGCACCTGAAGTACGTAGAAAAGCAATTGATGAAAAGACAGGTGCCTCAAGGGAAGCGGGAGGCAGTCTTGTTCTAGATATTTGGGGAGATTGTGATATAACTAAATAGCACTCGCTGCCTTAGAGCAGAGGGTAGACTTGGATGATCAGTGGGGACAAAAGTGGTCAGAGAGCTGTCAGGAAGAAGGGAGAGAGGTATTCTGCAAGTTGTGTTGTTGGGAGCAAAGTGTTCCCCAGTTCCCATGACTGGACAGAGTGGGTCACACTGTGCACAGTCCAGGAGTCTGTTTATGTTGGAAGTAGAAGGAGCAATAAGGATGTAGGATATTTAATCCCTATTACATTATGCATTTTAGTAATTCCAGTACATAGTAGTATCGAGGAGCCTTGCTGGGTCTGGACTTTGGGAAGTGGAGCTGGATTGAAAGAAGCTTTTGAAGGCTAACTCTTGAGTTCGTGGACTAGGACAGTAACTGTTAATGACAAGCACGAGGGGAGATGATCATGAATGGTAGAAGCACATGCTGATTGTTATAAGCTGGGCAAGAGTAAGTAAAAGCTGTATTTTTAGTGAACTGTAATAAATTAATCAAGCTCAGGTTTCTAATTAAAACTTTAGTGTGTCTAACTGGAATGTCTACTTGGACTGTTAGCGTGACCAATCCAAACACTGGCGTGACTAATGGAAACAGCTATTGGAACCAATTACAATATTGTCCTCATCACTTGGAACATTGGAATGACCAATTACAACCTGGTAGTTAAAACAGCAAGAGGGATTTTTCACAGTAGTAGAAATAGAATAGACTCATAGTTTTCAAGAACGATGCATTCTGAGGTTTTTCTCAATTCCACCCAAGCAATATCTTGAATGCTAATCTGTAAACTGCGTGAGTATTATCCTAAGACACTCAAGTTGTCAACGGGGGCTGTGTTTTTACTGGCCACATGCCTTGGTGCTGGAACATATATGAATGAATTCTCATAGAGGAATTTTTTTCTTAGAATTCAGTACTGTAATATACATTATAGTTCATTTCTAGCTGTTCACAATACTTTATGGTATGGTTTTCTACTATGGTTTTCTACTTGTAATTCTGATTTCAACCTCTTTCCCTACCTGCTTTAACTTTTGTGATTTATTTTTTAACTGGGAGTATCTATTTTGCAAATTGCCTTAAATCATTTTTTGAACAAGGCAATTAGAGATACAGAGAATGAGGTGGGGGGAGAGAATATAGAAGAGACTAAAATAGGTTATGTTAGGGGAGGATTGTATCTTAAATTTTTAAATTCTCAAGGCCAAGAGAACTGGTCGTTTCTGTGTGCCTTAACCCCTAGGGATGAACTGGGCCCTGATCTGGAAGAACATTTCCTGGGCTCAGTGAATACTGATTACCTTTTAAAAACATATATTTTTTACAATTTCCCCTTAAAGTTCATGGAAGCTTTTTCTCATTTGGGAAACAGTCTGGTACTTTGGACAAAACGGAGTTCTGGAGTCAGGCATCGTGGTTTGAAAATTAACTCTGTTCATGATTAGCATGTGTCCTTGGCCGAAAGCTCTGTTTACCCTCTTCAGGCCTGTTTCCTCGTCTGCAGAATCAGGACACTAATATTACCACCAAACCCCCGGGAGCGTTTATTAAGAAGATAATATATGTAAAAGCACCCAGGAGTGTCTGAAGCCAAGGAGGCAATCAACAAATCCAAGTTCTCTCTTATATTGGACACACTCATCTGCCTCACTCCTTAGGGCCAAGTGGCCCACAGTCCTGGCGGTATGGTACTGCTGCCTCTGTCCTGTCAGCCGGCATCTAGCCTGCTGGCTCAGGAAGGGCCATCCTCCTCTGCCCAGCTTCAGGAAGGTTATGTGCCAAGGAGCTGAGCTTCTGGATACCTGTCATTTCAGATTAACCCATACACAGCTAGCTGGTAGCCCACTTTTCTGAGATACTGATGACCTTTGGCCTGGATAATCACGTATTACAAATCAAACTCTCTGTCCCATGTGGTTTGATTCAGGATCTGAGGACAATTGTAAATTAATGAAATTAGAGCTGTTGAGTCAGAATGTTGAGGTCACTATTCTGGTACCACGGATGTGTTGCCCAAGAAAACAGAAAATGTTCAGGCAATGGCAGGATATTGTTTGTTTTACATCTGTTCCTTTGGTCTTGTTGCTGGCCTTGTTGCCATGTACATTTTCCTTGCTCTAGGATTTTGGCCATCACGTGACGTTGCCATTTACCACTGGAAAAACTGGTAAAGTTGCCCTGCACTTCAGGAAATGCTTCTGGTTTTTGAGGTCCTTTGTAATTCTCTCGCTTATGTTTAATAAGTATATATATTTATGATGGATTTGGTGTCAAGGGCCTGAAGTATCTGGTTATAGTTAGCCACTGTCATAGTATTGGCAGGACTAGTAATAACCTTTGGTCTTCTTCTCATTTCTGTCCCACAGTGACCAAATTGTAGTTTTGGTACAGCCCAAGAAAAAGCCAGCTCACATACTAAGACTTACATATAATTGACCCAGTAAATACTCACTGAATACCCACTGCATATTCTAACACCCTTTCACTGTAATGAGGTGAATTATAGTGCTGAAGACTGGGCTAGGCGCTGATTTTGCCCAAGATGTCCTCTAGAAGTTCTGGCTTTAAGAAATATATTGTTAATATAAGTTTTTGTTTGTTCTAGTAGAGAAGACCTGCTACTTTGCCTTAAAAATAGCAGTGGAGAAAGAAAGTTGGTTTTTCAAAAGGGTCTTCATTTATGTTTCTCTGTTTGGAAGTAATAAGTCATGGTTTCTATGGGGAAACATGATTTTGAAAAATGTAGGTCACATTGTCCTTCAAAGCATAATGGATGGTGCCAGTGATACAGCTCAGCGGCATAGCACCTGCCTAGCAAGTACAAGGTCCTGAGTTCAATTCCTAGTTCTAAAAAAAAAACCAGGATGTGCAAGCACCGTATTGTCTCACTAGTGTAAAACCTGGAAGAGTTAATAAAAACTCAGAGGTATAATAGACATTGTGAAATGATAGGAAAATGCTCAGGGGTAAAGGGCAACTGGGATGTGGGAAAAGAGAAGGGAAAGAAGGAGAAATTTTGTATGTATGTATATACAGGATAGTTAACATAGTTGATCTACTGTCTTCTATTTCTTTGCTGAAAGAAACTGTTAATGGGCCCTTGATTGATCCATACTGCATGTCTCTATTTTTTTTCATGAGAAACCACTTTGACCATAACAATATGTAATACAAGCATTGTTAATTTCCTACAACTTTGTTTGTAACTCTGTATTGTCTGTACTGTTCTTTTGCCATTTTGTGGAAGGTTGTCTGTCTGTTAATGTTTTCCTCCTTTTATTTTTAAAATTAAAAAATTAAAAAATTTAAAAAAATAAAGCGGGAAAAGCACACTGCGTGATGATGTCAAGGGCTGTGTTATCCCCACATGACCCAGTGAGAACCCAGGCCCATCTCAGATGGACCCGTGGCTCATATGCAGTGGTCTCAGTTCTGAGTTATGCAAAACATAACCTTCGATATGGCCTTATGTGCTATAGGTGTAGCTAGAGCTGCCCTTGTTGCTGTAGTGTTTTGTGATTTTGAAATCTGTTTTTGCTTGCAGGAGCTGCTAAGTCGCACATCTCTTGAAACCCAGAAGCTTGATCTGATGACTGAAGTATCTGAGCTGAAGCTCAAACTAGTTGGCATGGAGAAGGAGCAGAGAGAGCAAGAAGAAAAGCAGAAAAAAGCAGAGGTGAGTGTGATACTACTCCAAATGCTGGTGAGTGGAGAGGATTGTACTGTCCTAAGCTCAGACCTGGAGAGCTATCCTAATATGGCCTCAGGCCATCTGGTAACCCCATCCCTGGCAGCTACTGGGGGCCAGAACTGTGTATGCACTAGAGGCACAATGATCAGTTACCATCAAGTTATCGGGTTTAGCTGTGGCTGCAAATTTCAGCAATGCCCAAACCACTCAGTTTTGGCTCTAAAGCTTTCTCCTCCCTCAAACTGCCGACAAGGATGGAAGGGGAAGCAGTACTGAGGAGAGTATCTGACAGAACACGGAGAACACAAGATATCTTCTGTGAGAACCAAGGTTATGACAGTGTGCTGGGCTAGAGACACATTTCCAAAAGGCCAACATCACTATACCAAGGAGTTGAGATATTTTTTAACATGTATTTCACTGACTCACATGGAACCCTCACATTATGTGTTTCTTTTCTCTTGATGGGGTCATATATCCCATCTAAAAAAAATGTGTGTGTATGTGTCCGTGTGCATGTGTGTTATTGGGGTATTAGAACCCGAGGCCTTTATGCTGAGATACATCCTTTGGTCTTATTTTTTATTTTGAAAAGGGTCTCAGTGAGTCATTAAGTTGCTCAGGCTGGTCTCAAGCTTATGATCCTCCTGCCTCAGCCTCTCAGACTGCTGAGGTCTCATATAGGCATGTACACGCGACCACACCCAGCTTTGTTCTTTGTGCTCCAGAATCTATGGGCTAAAGCATGCTGGCCTCCTTTTGGGATAAATATTTAGAGAATTGTAGCCTCAGAGCTTCTTTATTTGAGAGATCGCAGCGAATTTAAACTTAGATAATCATCTTTGTGTTCCTCTACCTTCAAATTCTTCCGTTCAAGCCTGAGATATGAAAGAAGAGAGATTTTAGGTTTAGAAAAACCTTTGCTCATCTTCTGACCTATCTACTCAGTAGCTCTGGGAACTTAAACACGTTATTTAATCACTCTGAATGTCAGTTTCTTTATATATAAAATGGATGACATTGATCCACATGTCTGTGTTTGTTCTAGTACGATGATGTTTTTATCACTATTGTTTTGTAGTGTAGCTTGAAGTCTGGTATTACTATGTCACCTGCTTTGCTCTTGTTGCCTGAAATTACTTTTGCTATTTAGGGTCTCTTCTGGTTACATATCAATTTTAGGATTGTTTTATCTAGATCTAAAAAGTATGCTGTTGGTATTTTGATTGGGACTACACTGAATCAGTTTTGGAAGTATGGCTATTTTGACATAATTGGTTGTGCCTATCCAAGAGCAAGGGACATCTTTCCATTTCCTGACGTCTTCTTCAGTCTCCTTCTTCAGAGTACTGTAGTTTTCTTTGTAGAGATCTTTTACTTCTTTGGTTAGGTTAACTCCTAAGTATTTTATTTGTTTTGAAGTGACTGTGAATGGTGTTGTTTTCATAATTTCTTTCTCCTCCCATTCATTTTTGGTATACACAAATGCTAATGATTTTTGTGTATTTATCTGTGTTCTGCTATTTTGCTGAAACTGGTTATTATAAAAGTTTGTTGGTGGAGTTCTTTTGGTCTTCCATGTAGAGTATCATGTCATCTGCAAATAATGATAATTTGAGTTTTTCCTTTCCTATATATATTCTTTTTATATCTTTATTTTGCCTGGTTGCTCTGGCTAATATTTCATATACTATGCTGAATAACAGGGGTGACAGTGGACATCTTTGTCTTGTTCCTGATTTTAGGGGTAATGCTTTTAGTTTTTCCCCATTTAGTATGATAGTGGCAATTGGCTTGTCATAGATAGCTTTTATTATATTCAGATATTCCTTCTATACCTGTTTTCTTCAAGGATTTTATCATGAAAGTGTGTTGTATTTTGTTGAAAGCCTTTTCTGAGTCTATTGATATGATCATGTGGTTTTTGACCTTGCTCTTGTTTATATAATGTATTACACTGATAGACTTACATATGTTGAACCATCCTTGCATCTCTGGGATGAAACCTACTTGATTATATAATTTATCAGCTTTTTGATAATAGGCTTCATTTTATTTGCTAATGTCTTATTGAGGATTTTTGTCTCTTTGTTCATGAAAGAGATTGGCTTATAGTTCTTTTTTAGTTGAGTCTTTATCCAGTTTGGGGATGACATTGAAAGTGGTTCCCATAAATGAATTTTGGGGCACTCCACCTCTTTCAATTTCTTTGAATAGCTTGAGGATATTGGTGATAGAATATCCTTAAAGGTTTTGAGAAATTCGTCTGTGAATCCAGCAGGTCCTGGGCTTTTTTAAGTTAGTGGGTTCTTTATTACTGAGTCAGTTTCATTGCTTGTGATTAGATTGTTAAGTATACTTATGTCTTCTTGGGTTAGTTTTGATAGTTTGTATGTATCTAGGAATCTGTCCATTTCTTCAGAATTTGCTAATTTGTTGGAATATACTTTTTCAAAGTAGTTACTGTCTTTTGAATTTCAACAGTGTCTGTTGTCATTTCACCTTTATCATTTCTTTTGTTTTTTTTAAAATTGTTTCTTGGTACAACTTAGATTTACATAATGATCACATTCATCATAGGGAACTTGTACCTGTACATGATCTATCTTTGCTCCTTTTTTCTTTCCCATTCCCCTTCCCTGCCTTCAACCTTTCTTCCCCTCCCTATTTACAAAGCTTTGTTTCCATTTTCTCATTATTTTCTCACTTTTTTCTTTTCTCTTCTTTCCTTCCTCTCTTCCCCTCTTTCCTTTTGAACAGTTTCTTCCTATTTCATAATATCTATTACACATTTTGGTTCTTATTTACATTTTCAGTATCTCATACCAGAGAGACAATGTGATATTTACACATGTGTGTCTGATTTATGTCACTTAAGAGTATGATCTCAGGGTGCATCCATTTACCTAGAAATGTCTCAAGTTTATCCTTCTTCATGCTTGAGTAGTACTTCATTGTATAAAAAAAAAAAAAAAAGCACATCTTTTTGTCCATTCATTGATTGATGGGCATTTGGGTTGTTTTCAAGATTTAGCTATTACACACTGTGCTGCTATAGACACGAGTGTGCATATATTGCTATGGTATAATGCTTTTAATTCTTTTGGAAAGATACCAAGAAGAGGAATGGCTGGGTCATATGGAACCTCTAGTCCTAGTTTTTTGAGGAATCGCCACATTGATTTCCACAGTGGTTGTAGCAGTCTACACTCCCACCAACAGTGGAGAACGGTTCCTTTCTCCCCACAGCCTAAAGTGGAAAGATTCAACTCAAAGCCATTTAGAAAAGAAAAGGGAGGAAATAGAATTGTTAGGCTACACAAGTTGGTAACAAAGTTTAAAAGGGCAAGGTTTAAGAAGTCCAGTATAACTAGATCAAGATAATCGCACAGCGTCAGTCAATCTCTAGCAATTGGTCTTACTGTCTCCTTTGGTTCTATTTTAGCCTTATTCTCAGGAGGGCTTTCCTTCCTGGAGACAGAGATAGCCATCAATAGCTCTGGACTGATGTCCTGGCAGCCCCTGCAGATATAATCTTTTTCAAAGGTTCCAACAGAAGCACCAAGATTGCATCTCATGAGCCAAATTTGCGTTGGATGCCTGGTTCTGCATTGGTCACTCACTGTAAGGCCTCACAGGTGAGGGGTGTGAGAGAGCCAGTCCATCTGTGGAAAGATGCAGAATACAGAGCTGAGGTAACGCAGGCACTTTATGGGGACATCAGGAAACAATGAGAGCTCCCACTTCTGGAATCTGTGTCCTATAGCAAGTATTGGACTATTTTGTTTTCTTTTTCTATTTTTCCTTTTCTTCTTAAGGATTATTTTTACATCTGAGTTTTTCTGCTGTTATTTTCCCTCAGGTTGTTCATGCATGAGGCACCATGGACTGAGAGTCTGGCCTCTGTCCTACCAGATCACAGCCCTTCCCAGTTGCTAGTACAAATATTAGGTTTCCATGTGGAAGAACTCTGTGGGCTATTCAAACCTGTGATAAACAGTGAGCAGCCACATGACCTGAAGCGAATTCCTCATTCTTCTGATTGAACATACTCTCTGCTGGTGCGCCTGGAATCTCTCTGCCTCTATAGCTGTCTGGAGCACCAGGGCCTTAAGCCATGAGTGCTGCTTAAGCCACACTCTCGTCACATGATGGAAATGTTTATTTTGAGTGAGATATTTTGCTAACTCAGGTCAGCAGGGGTTGTAACTGTGTGTCTAAAGAGAATGCTGCTTCGCTTCCTATATTGCTGCTGCTTTTTTCCAGTGAATGTAGTTAGCGGAAGGGCTGATTGCTTGTGGTTTGGAAAAAGCCGGACCTTTTTTTTTTTCTTGTAACCAGATCTGAATTAAACTTCTTCAGTGTAGCTCAGGCTTTATCCTCAAATGCCATTTTATGCTGCAGTGAAATGAGGCTGCCGTTAACAAGGGCACTGCAGACGGCTCTTTCTGCTCTGGTCTGATCACACCCTAAGCCGGTGTCCTGCTGCCTTTGCAAGCTGTGGAGATGATTACTGGTGTCATCCCGTAAGACCTGAGAGCTCGAAAGTGCAGATGTGGGGATGGCCAGCACTGGTGGGGGTCCTGGCCCACATGTTGGTGAATACTGGGTGTTTGGTTTGCCTTCTCTCATTGGCCTTTTGCAATACTTCTGGGTCATTTCAGGGTACCCAAGACTGACTCAGTTAGATTTACTCCTGAAGATCAGTACTGCAGAAGAGTAATTGACATGGAAAGTAAGTACTAGAATCAGGGTGATGGGATGTGAAAGAAGGATCCAGAGGCAAGGGAAAACGTCTTTGTGGCACCTCTGTTCGAAGGCATGTTGATGAGAAGGATCTCAGAGAAGAGAGTCTGCCTTCCCTATGGACTAGAGGTCCAGGGTGTCTACAGCCAGATCCCATTGTGGATTCTGAGACAGTTGTCAGAATAGCCTGTTGAGACCCAGGGACCCAGGATGTGTTAGGAAGTGGAATTGTCCCAATT